CAGAAATTTAGAAAATCAACAACAACAAAAGAATAAAAAAAAAAAAAAAAATCCTAACTCTTCTTTGTGTGTTTTAGGTTTGATTACATCACAAGAAGCCAAAGCCTTGACCTTATCTTCTACTGACTACAGATTAAAGCGGATTAATGACTTTCGGCAAATTTTTGCATCGATTCTGATGCTCTGGAGTTTGATTTGAAACCAAAAAGTTTAACCTTTGATAATTAAGCAAATTTCCCTGCCGCCATGTTTGATAAGGCCAAAACAGTAACAACAATGATATTCTTTAGCACTATAAATGGTGTAAACTAATTTATATTCATCTTTCCATACATTTTCAGGCATTCTAGCCATTCATAGTGTACGATAATATCTACCTGATGAGCTGCCATACACTAAATTAGAATTGATGACAAAAAAAACCTCCGGAAACTGGGTGAATGCTAAGATGTTTTTTATTTTTATTGTTTTGTTGTTGTTATTTTTCCATTTAGACATTGACAAATTTGAAGATTTAAGGATTTAATGTCGTGAATAGATAGTGTTAAATGATAGAACACATACTTCTTTATGTAACTAGGCTCCTGAAGAAGCCAAATTTAAATATGTATATTCATCAAGAATATTATTTTATTACTGACAGCTGGAGATAGGCAACAGCATCCCTCGTGACCCCAGTAGGGATAAGCGCCTCAGAAACTGGATGGATGGATGGATGGATTGATATTATTTTTTATTGATAAAGTCTGTGATTGCTGTGGTAAGCAATCACAGATACCTAAGAAAGACTGCAAAGAAGTAATAGGATTTTTTTCTAATCGTCACTTTTATCATAATCTAGATAATATCAGCCGATATCGTGTTAAGATTTTGAGTGAAAATGAATGTTAAGATTAAAAATACTTGATACCCTGTGGGATGTCAGCAGAGGCATGTGTGCATTGAGCTGACTAGGAAAACTTAGATTTATTTATTTAGACAGATTTATTTAATTAATTAGTCTAAGTTAAATAGTCTAAGTAAACCTGCTTAAATACAGAGGAAGGGTTAGATAAATTAAAATAAAAGTCAAATGCTTTAGAATCCTTTAGAGCATATTAGGAGCCTTGATATCTGGTTCTCAAGACCCACTATCCTCCATGCTTTAGGTGTGACCCTGCCTCCAAACACCAGACTCAGAGAAACGGCCGAAATCAAGCTTCTGCAGTCCTTGATGACCGCTGAGGAGATAACGGAATCATTTAATTTCCGTGTGCTGGTGCAGAGATACATTTGGACACATGTTGGAGACTAAGTCCTTAAGATCAGGACAGAAGAGCCCTGGCATGGGCAGTTCTAGACAGGGACAGAGGTGCTTTAGAGCTGCTGCTCAACCTGTTATAGCCTCTGTGCTGAAAACATATACTGCAAAAATTTAAATATAACCAAGTAAATTTTATTGAAAAAAAAAAGTGTGTTTTCTGTTAATTAGAGCATGTCAATTAGACAATTTGCCAAATCTAATATGATTTACAGTTGAAACTAGAAAACAAAAAACTCAAATAAGTTATTTCAAGTGCATAATATCCAAATGTCTTATTTTTAAGTGCAAGAATACTCATTTGTTTTGCAGATAATATTTACCTGCTCAAATTAAGCGTAAATACACTTATCTTTTAGAATCACTTATATTATTATAAAAAAAATATATATATTTTTTTATAACACTTTAGCATCTTTTACTGTTTTAGATCAGTTGTTGTAGCATTATGGTAAATTATTTTTTTATAATGATATGTGCTGACAGAAGAGACTAGATTTAAACCAGCCTAGTTCCTAGATTTTTTTTTTTTTAAGTAAATTGTAAAGGCAAAATTTAAAATTGGTCTAATGGACAAATCAGTCACAATTTATCAGACAGATTTCAGTTTGTTCATGTAAATGATAAATCTTTTTGATCCAGGGTTACCTGTGGAGTTGTGACAATTTCATTCTTTTGTTTCTTTGTAACCTGTTTGATTTTACACTTTTCTATGTTCACTTGTTCTATTGCAGGGGTCTTCACTGTTTTTCCAGGCCAAGGACCCCAAAACTGATGGCGAGATGGAGCGGGGACCCCCTAATTATACATCTATTGTATAGACCAGGGGATCAACCCAGAGGTTCTATCAGGTCTGGCAGCCATTTCTAAATTATTTTTAATTACAATTCCCTGCTGGAACATACTTGAGTGATAGGCTCTGCAATCCTACTGCAACATGTCGATATTAAATTATTTATTCATTTCTATTATTATGATTATTTTTTATTGTTGTTCTTCTCACAAATTTCTTATTTGTATATGTTATCCCTTTTGCTTTTTCAGTTTTTTTTACTCATTTTACATTATTTTCCCTATGTTATTGCAATTCATTGTTAATGATGGGACTGTTGTTTGGTTGTTATTTTATATGGACAATTAAAAATCCAATAAAAATATCTGAATATATATATATATATATAGTATGAAATTGTGTTATATCGCACTGGTCCAGTAGTTACTCTATTACAGATGGAGTAATGAATTGAAAGTAATTTCTCCCTGGGATTATTAAAGTATTTCTGGTTTTGATTCCTGGTTGATGGGACAGGTGTTGAGCATGAAACGGTGCCCAGATTTAAAGAGCTCCTGTGTGTCACTGAATGTGTGCATTGATGACTGAAACACATCTTCTGCCTCCATTTATCTGTTTACTACAGTGTGTTGAATTCATGTTAATGTGCATTTAAAGACATTTCAACTAGTGGAAACATACGTTGCAGGGGAGAATAATAATAATAAAAAAGTCTAATCAACCAAAACTTTCACGACCCCCATGCAGTACCTCTGCAGACCCCCCTGTTGAAGACCTCCGTTGCATTTTGTGACTCCTCTGGTTAAGCACGTTGGGTAACTGCTGGTTGTTGTAAAGTGCTATATAAATCAAATTTGATTTGATGTGTTGTGAATAAGGACTATATAAATAAACTGGATTGAAATTTCGTGATTGCAGCCAGTTTTAAAGTTTAGTCATACCAAGATAAGATCAGTTTTCATGTTAGATCAGCGGTCTGTATCCATGCACTGCTTTTGCTTTGTTTGTTCTTTTTCTATGTTTGTTTTTGTTTTGCCCTGTTCCCCCTTGAAAAAGATAATACCCCTCCTCATCTAGATCCGCCTCTGCACCCTGCCATATAATGGCCAAGAAAAACAATATGGTGGAGAAAACAAAACTTAACTTTTACTAAAGCTCCACCCTCTGTATTGATTACTCTGGGAATCTGATTTCAATCTACAACTCCAAATGTAGATCCTTCATCTCAAAGTTGAACAAAATAAAAAAATTATGAAGAAAATGCTCGCCTAAGAAAAAAACTCAGCCCATTATCCTGTATGTTGGAGATAATTTATATCATATGTGGGTTTGATTCAATATTACAAAAGTAAACAAAGAGTAAAAGTCAGGTAGGGCACCTTAAAGATCCCCACCCAGTCCCTGGGATGTGCCTGGAAGGCAGTGCTGAGGGTAAAGCGGCAGGTGATCGGGCTGGACGGCGGGTATGAGTGCGGGATGTCGATGAAGACCACCTGGGAGAAGTTTGGAGCCGGTGGGTCAGTCGCCGCTGCTGCCGCGTCCGGGAGGGGCTCCATACTGACCTACCGTCTGACAACTAAACACCACATCATAAGTTTGATTACAGTAAACCGATAGCAAAGGTCGACAATAACTTATTTTTACTGCGAGTTTCCACCCTTCATTCTTCCTGGCATTGTTTATTCGCCTTAATGCGCATTTAAAATTATACTTTCGGTTTGACTCGGTCCTATTCTAGCAACTGATCAACGAACCACTTCACTTCAATCTGTTGTCATATAGCTATTCAAGTCAATTTTACATCTTAGCAAAATTTATTTATATAAAAACGGAGAAACTTTAAGCCATAAAACCGAAAGTGATTTTTTTTTTTCACTGCGCATTGTATTCACATTCATTTAAAACTGGAAAAAGAGATTAGCACTGATTGGTCCTAAAGAAATTAGTGAAATATAAGATAGGTTTGAGATAAACACCTTTAACTTACGCTTAGTTGAAGCAGTCCTGATCTTTCGGTCCGCTTTGCATAGCCAGCAAGTGATGCGTTCAAGTACAACTCGGATCTTTATACTACCGCTGCCTGTAACAAACGATGACACGCTGCGCACGTAGTAATAAAATCTTATTTAACATCAGATTTAAAATACATGTACTTTCAAATATATATTTTATACAAAATTAAAAGTCACTACCACTGATCCTGTGGACTGTCACGTATAAAAATGCAGGGCAGAGTAGTTTAAGCAAAAATTGTTTAATCGTATTTTTTTTATTAAATCACAACATTTAACTATAAAAAATACAATAAAAAACATGAAACTGTTCATTCTGTACTAGCTATGAATCACCCAAATTTGCGACTGTAAAAAAAGTTCCGATTATTTTCTCTCAGATTGTTTTGAAGACATCAGCATCATGGGAAATGCAGTTCTTTTAATCTTTTAGTTTTATTAAAACCCACTCGGTGGAGCCAAACTCCTCCTTGCCGCAGAGCTAAAAAAAAAATAGTATTATTTGCAAAATAAATTATCAAATAATTGGCTTATATATTCTTATGTTTTTTTTTTTACATGATTTTAAGTGTTTATGTAGTGTTTAACTAAAACTTTATGCTTTTGAAAGAAACATTCATATTTTTTAATTGGATGTTATTTGATACATCTTAATTTTGAAGGCCAAGAAAAGTGTAATAAACCAAGTTCAATTCAATTAAATTTATTTATATAGCGCCAATTCACAGCACATGTCATCTCCAGGCACTTTACAGTTCACCAGGTCATACAGTCAAATTGATTCAAAGTTTTCTAACTAAGGAAAACCAGCTGATTGTATTGACTCGTTGACTGAAATGCAATCCCTCACACTAAGCATGCTTGTAGCGACAGTGGAGAGGAAAAACTCCCTTTTAACAGGAAGAAACCTCCAGCAGAACCAGGCTCACTGTGAGCGGCCATCTGCTGAGGCCGACTGGGGTTCAAGGAGACAGAAGCAGAGATACAAAAAGCAGCTGTAAAAGGCGGCCCCGTCCAGGAAACACACAGCCAGGCAGACAAGCTCCAAGGCAGCTCCCATGCCAGAGGATGAAGAGAGCACATCCAGCCAGTCACAGTCAGAGAAACAGGACTACACTGGAGAAACAGGCCGATCTTCAACATCTATGAACAAAGGTTTTGTATATAGCTGTTTCGTGAAGACACAAACCATTTTGGGAAATAAAGCAGAAATGTGGAATTGATCTAAAGATATAAAAGTCAACATTTTTCACCAAATGTAAAATGAAAACTGGCAGAGATCCAACACCCTAACCATACAGACAGTCAAACATGAAGGTGGGTCAATATTTCTTGACTCAAGTCCTACCATGGGAGGATTTCTCTTATAAAAGGACTGGGGGGGCTGTTCAGAGTGGTTCAGGAAATATATGAACAATTAATATTTTTAGTTATAAGAACTTATAAAATTTTGTTCTTCATAAACAAAAAATGTATTAATTAATTCATCACTCTTTTTTTTCTGCTAATATGTCCCATAGAGGCTCCTGATGGTGGCATGTCTGGAACACTTCCGTCTAAAGTTATCCAGGGGCCTCAATCCTGGAACATACCTGCTCCATATTTGACATGACAAAACAAAACTTAAAATTTATTTGGTTTATATTTTATTAGGTCAAATTAATGTAAAGATAATTTTCAAAACCAGTATTTAATTTATATCTGTAGCTGACATATATTTCAACTTTTATGGTAACATAATCTTTTGAAATTCTAATTAAACTATGCTATTGTTTTTGTAGTTTTACCTTTTGCTAGAGCTTGTAGTGGAATAGATCAAGAAATGTCTCATCAGACTACTTGTGTGAAACATTCAGAACACCTTTCAATGATTTAATATTTAAAATGTCTCAGTGCGCTGAGCTGCCTGGAGATATGGCCTGAGGGAGGCGGCGGAGGATGAAGACTGGACTCTGTTTGGACTGACCGTGTTAGGGGCATGAAGCTCTACCAGGTGTTTAAGTCAGTAACTACCTCATTACTGCCATCATCAGGACAAACCACAGCGGCTGAGATCAGCTTCACAAATTAACCGTGTAATTACATTTGTGCTGGAGAGAAGTGAATTCAAAATGCGATCTTCTGTTGTAATAGAGCCTCTTCTTCAGGGAGAGTATCCGTAGCCCATTTCTCTCAGGTCGAGCTTTTAATTTCTGACCTACTGTAGCGTGCTTATACAGCCTGTTTAACAGGGTGTGACAAATGCACCAAGTTCCCCTCTTGAAGGAACTAAATGGGGACATAATCATTCATAAAAAATGTATTATATTAATGGAGACAGTCCCTCCATGCTGTGTAAACATGCTTGTCTTTGCAGAAAATAAACCATTTCCCAGGGATGATTGAGATCTGCTGCACAGATTCTCTGATGGGGGACTTGAACCAAATACTGAAACTTTTCTCCAAAGATCACAAAATATTTCCCAGAACATGAAGCTTTCCTGCAGAGTCAGTTTTCCTTCTGTTTCACTGCTACATGACATATAATTACACCTTAAATGTATCACTTGCTAGCTGATTTGACTTTGCAGCTACAGTGACTTCTAAGCCTACTCCAGAGCCAAATAACGCAAAAGTTGCTTCAATAAACCAGATATCGGTGCCCATAATAAAAGCATCTGTTAGGAATCCAGTTTGTGTGGGTTGTGTTTTTGTGTTGTTCTCTCCTTCCACCACCAGGTGGCGCCCTGTTCTAGTTGGTCCTCCCACACACCTGCGGCAGGTTGACTCATTACTGAGGACTATTTGAGCGGTGGACTGTCACGCCTATTCGACGCCAGAGTGTTTGCCAGTTTTGGGTACTCTAGCCAAGCTGAATTTTGCTGAGTCAAACTGAGTCTTTGTTTTTTCGCTGAGCCTAACCCTATTTTTTGTCTTTGCCTTTTCGGCAGGAAGCCTTCCTGCAAGCTGGATGTTTGGCCTTCTTCCCCTGGAAGGATTGTTTGAGTCTCACACTGAGCAGGGGATTAACCTCCACAAGTTCCGTTGAAGTCCTCCTGGATTCCCAAGTGACAGTCCTCTCAATAGCTCCTCAGGATCCTACCAAGTCTAAACCTGTCCACCCTCCAACGAGTCTCTATCTCCGGAAAAACCCACACTAACTGGATTCTGGGAGAAGAGGTATTCTCAACCAACGTGAGTCCCGTTTTCTCTGTCTTTCCAGTCATCGCTCAAAGTTCCCACGGATCCTGAACTAACCACTGATACTTCCCTTCCCTCTTCCAGTTCCGGTTCACCAGCACACTGTGTTTCCTGAATCCTACCCCCGCTGTCCTTATCAATAAACCTGTTCAAACTTTTACCCTGGTTCTCTGAGTGGTGTACTGCATGTGGGTCAGATCTCTTAAGAAAATCATGACAGCATCAGCATCAATAAATCAAGTAAAAAAAAAATCAAACCTGAAGCACACATGATCTGTCAGGCTTACATATCCAAGATGATGCTCTTGTAAGCAACACATGCTAGCGAAAAGCATCCCCAAAGTATTCATATTCTCTAAGGCTATTTTTTAAACCTTTTTTTACATCACCGCACAAACTTCCACATCTAGGAACAAAGGCAGAAAACTGAGAAAACAACAAGCAGTCCAGTAGAGAGACAGAAGAATGCAGCAATGAGCAATGGCAATCAGTGAGCTTATATACTTCAGGGAAGAGTGGAGAATGACATTGAAAGCACTTGTGTTAATTGAGGGGTTATGTGGAGCAGCTGGGGTGGAAGGAAAATAGGATGCCTGATGGAAAAGACCAGTAAATATTGAAGGAAATCAACTAAAACCAAACCAAGAGGAAACCTCTAGCACAAAGGGCATGGATTAGCGGACCACAGTCTGGATCCGGACCCACTTGCTGGCTGATCTGGACCCAACCTGATTTAAAACATTTATAAATTACCCTATGTTGTCCAATAGCAGTGTCTAATTTCACTTGCACCACTACTTCTATTTGTACGTTAAAGCCCTCCAGAGTGTCCGGTACCAGGTTGCACGTGATACAAATTAGCCAATGAGCTGCTCACAGTCTGGGTTGCTGCTGCTGCTACTTTTAGACTCAGCGGGGAAACCTGTGACAAGCCGGGCGATGGGAAAGAAGGAGAAGACATTGAGAAAAATAGAGCAGAGAAAGTGTGGACTGCTGGAAGAACTGCGGTGAACTGGTGAAATAAAAGTGAAATGGCGTGCTCAAAGATGACCCTGCACATTTTGAATATGTTTGGCTCAACCTGCTGCTGTGAAGCAGGATTCTCCACCATGAACAGAATCATAAATAAATATGGACCCAGGCTAAAAATGAGCACTTTGATATGTGCTTGAGAATGGCTTAGTCTCGATTCAAACCCAGAGTTTAAAGCCTTGCAGGGCAGCCTAAAGCCCACTGCTTTCATTAAGCCAGAAAAAAAGAAAGAAAAAAATAATGGTCAGTTCAGGTGTTTTATGAAATGTATGAATCAGGAAATTGCCTATATACCACACTGAACTATTGTTGTTCTCTACTTAAAAAAACACTTTAGATTTTTAAATGGAAAAATTTTCTATATTTTTAAATATATTTTTGATTTACAAAGTTGATGTATAACATGGATGCATAAACACCTAATTTTATTTCAGTGTTAAATTCTGTTTAAAGCAACAGATTATAATAAAAAATGTCTGGTTGTTGATTTTCTTTATTCGGACCCCATTGATTTTTAATTGGTTACCCCTGCTCCAGAAGAATGCGACTTAACGGGCTGAATAAACAATAATTAGAAAGGTATTAAAACTATATGACAACTTGTTTCCATTTTAAAATCACATACTATATGTTGCTGTCTATTAAAATCAATTAAACATTGATATTTGTGGTTGGGACATGGAAAAGAAGAAGCAGTGGTTACATAGACGAAATTTTGATATCAGAAGTTGG